AACCAGACCATTGTTGGGGTCGGATTTCACCCGCTCAACGTCAATGTTCAAAGTTTGGTTAACATAACAAACGTACATTGAATCACGTTGACATCTAGAGAATATATGGTTCCTAAGTCGTTTCTAGACAAGTCTTCTCCGATCCTAACTCCTCTCCGCTTGCAAGGCGAAGTCTTTTCTGCCTGCGAGGCGAAGTCTTCTCCGCCTGCGAGGCAAAGTCTTCTCCGCTTGCAAGGTGAAGTCTTCTCCACCTGCGAGGCGAAGTCTTCTCCGCCTGCGAGGCGAAGTCTTCTAAGTCTTGCTTTCATGCAGAAGAAACCATCAACACAGGGGCCACCGATGACTCTGATAGGGTGACACCGAAGACTCTGGCAGAGATGCCACCGAAGACCCCTGCTTCGCCTTGCAGGAAAGTTCATGTCTTCGTCTCGCGGGAAAGATCATATCTTTGCTCCGCAACAAAGACCCGAAGACTTCATGCGTTGGGTTTCAGCCCGAAGCCAGTTGAGAGGACAAGCCCAGATATCTCCAGAAGATAAGCATAGCAGCTACGAAGCGACGTCGTAACGACCGCGGGAGCTTGGAGTCTCAACGCTGAAGCCCAATCCAGTTGCAAAACCCACTTCGGCGCAACCGACATGGACGAAAATGAAATCCGCGAAGACTTAGGAAACTTAACATAATCCTTTATGGAATACCTAGCCGACTTAGGAACACTATATATGTCGATGTATAAACCCTTGTAAAGATATCCGTAACTTTGTTGACAAAAGCATACACAATAATAAAAACTTTTCTTGGCTCATCGTTTTCTCTCGTAGCTTAACTTAGAAATCTCTGCTTCCTCTCGAAACCCTTACAAATCTAATTGTGCTACTCTTGGCACCCACAATTTAGCGCCGTCTAAGGGGAGTTAGAGAATTTCTCACATAAAGAAGCTATGTGACACCACAGATCTGAGAACTAGAAAGATGAGGGACGAAGAGAACAAATCAAGCAGCAGCGCCGAAGAGTCCTCGTCTCGGAGAACCAACTGAGAGGAGGAGAACTCCGTCGAAGTCCCTGCTACCAACGACGCTGCTAACCCAGGAGACATGACCGAAGTCAAGCAGATGCTGCAAACGCTCCTCAAAGAGTCCAACGAACCGAAGAAGTTCAACGAGGCAACTACGAACGAGCTGAAGGCTCTTTCTTGAAGGAAGCGCGAAAGACCCGACACGACAAGACTCAGGGGTCGCTTCGACCCGCGTTGCCTCAACTTTTCAACACAGCGTATTGCTCGAAGGGATCCGGGCGACTTGTCGCCACCACCGCCACGTCGGGAATCTGAGAGACCTTCCGAACGTTACATGGAGATCTCGGACGAGGATCAACCAACTCCTCAAAGACGCGCGCGAACAGACAGTGCTTGTGGTAACCCACGAGAACTGCGCGCCACATAGTCGGAGCACGTCGTCTGACTCTTGGAAATAAATCATGCACGACACATCGAGGTACGATGACTACCCCAGCGCCAACGATGAAGGCGGGCCCTCCGTAGCAGAGCAATACAAGAGAGAGCAGGAGCGTAGTGCACTAAAACGGTCTCAAGATGCATTGATCGCTGCGATAAAAGCTCAGATGGAGCGGGTCATCTCCGACCTACAGACTACCCAATCGCAGATGCACCGTAGCTTGGGAATGGCTCCTGGGACCGCCTATATGCTCGAGAAGGCACAGAACACGCCCTTCGCCGAGCGGATCGCGAGGACTAAAATCTCTGATCTCGGAAAAATCAAGTTACCAATCCACGAAGGAACCACAGACCCTTCAGACCATTTGATAGAGTTCGAGGTGGCTCTAGGGAGGGCTAACTTCAAAGAAGCCGAGAAAGACATCGGCTACTGCAAGCTGTTCATGGAAAGCCTCAAAGGGCCTACCCTCCAATGGTTCTGTAAGCTGGAGAAGGACTCAATCTACACCTGCCACCAGCTCTCAGAGATGTTTGTGCAGCACTACAACATCTTCGCAGAACGAAAGATCTATAGCACTACAGCACTACAAACCGCKAAGGTGAGAATGAAAGTCTTTGATCTTTCATGATAAGGTTTAAACACACGCTATCAAAGGTGGACGGTATTAGCAACACATCCGCGCTGGAGGCCTTGAGAGGAGCACTCCGATGCCCATCTTCGTTCTGGCAGGAATTGACTATCAACCCGCCAACGACTATCCAAGACGCTCTCCACCGCGCTACAGACTTTGCTCGAAGCGAAGAGGAAGTCCGTGCTATAAGAGGTGGAAAGACTAAACAGGCGAGCGAACCAACTCAGACCACGACACCACCGCCTCTTTAGAGGCTCTTACAAC